TAAATTACACGGAATTTAAGACGTAAAACTGTTAAAGAGTTTGTTATAAGTTGGAGGAAAGGAACACCATCTTTGTTAATCGGAAGTCTCCATGAAACGAGACGAAAGTCCAAATAATACCTTTGAAAAGTATGTTGTAGTTTCTACTAATGAATTTAAAAAAATAGCGTAATCGATAATATCAGTATTAACAGTATTATTTCTCGCAGATTTCTTTTATCAATACACTAATAGGAAAACATTAAGGAAACTTATTTCTATCTGCACTTTCATAGTCACTGTCAGAGTTAATAGGCAATTAATGTAAAAATAATAATTACTTTTGCGGTGTTTATTAGTGGAGTAATAACAAACACAGAGAAACCTTCTACGAAGTGCTTACGCTGTGCAAAATGATCAATTACTGAAAAAAATGCACGTACGCTTTAACGGTTCTATTAACGAATACTACCTATTTGATGATGACCATTTACAAAATTGCCTGAATGGTTTGGAAAGCTTCTTTCCCAAATGTATCAACTACCGAAAATATCAGCTTAAAAAAGGGAGGAAATTAGGAATTGATCGTATTTACGGACATAAAATGTTTAATTACGACGGGCCAAGGGGCCTCTCTCCAAATTTTTAAGGTGGGGGCATGACTGCCTATACGCACACACCTATGGCCCTGTAATTACTAATAAAGGAGAAAACAATTGTTTTCATAACCACGTATTCATAAACACATTTTTCAAAAAATCTTTTCAAATTGTCGAGAAAAATCTCTAGCGAACACATAATTAACTGGCTCCTACTGTAGAAAACAAGGTTAATACATGAGCAAAAACCAAATCCTTTTACAGAATAGGGCTTGACATTGTTTCATGCATTCAGAGGCTAAATTCCAAAAGTATGCTACATCAGCGTCCTACACGAAGTCCGTTAGGACTCAGATACAACTCTCTTGTAATTCTCCTACGTGAAGGCTTCACCCGAATTACCATCACTCCCCTGCTCTTGATCTTAAAACCTCAATCCGGGACCAACGGCGTAACAACCAACTCTTAGTCACTACTGACATGTAGAGAGTTTGTATAAGAAGGATGAAGGCGGTATCAAGCCTTTCAGAGGAGATAAAGTGGGAGTCAGAAAGTTGGAGATAGTCTCGCTGGAGAAGTGAATGAATAGAAAGCTCCGAGCGGTCTGCTCTGCACAGACCTTGGAACACATCTTTTTTTTTTTTTCTCGCACACTGACTGTTCCAGTTCACTTTGAACTTAGGAGGAAAGCGATTATCCTTTATCTTCTAGTGATACGATAAATTGTGATGGACTTTAGCCCGCCACGCGTATAATAATTACGCCACCGAACGGAGCAATCCCAGGTCATATTATTAGAGATAACGTTTTCACGAGTGAATTTGGTTATAGTAAGAACTTAAGATTTACAGAAACGATGGTCATCTACGTGAATGAGACTGCCTCGAAATTTCTTTCATTTTTCTGTTCGTTTTTGGCAATGCAATAACAGCATGAAACAATGTACACGTAGGCTTCCGCGACTCGAGTTCATTACTATCTGCCAAGGACGCGGCGTCACCCGGACAGCCTAGAAGTAAAGCATGGAACAATATTTAAAATCATTTTCCAAACCTAGTTATATGTCTTATAGTAATTATTCCAAATGCCGCTTATATTTTTGCTACGGGGTACAATGCAAAATGTAACTCCAGTTCTTCCTTGCGAACTGGAGACGTCACAGGGAAGACGCCCCGTGAGTGGGCGGAAGGCGGGCGATTGAAATGCAGGCGCCAATTCGGCCCGTGTGTCCTTGACGAAGCGCCTCACTGACTGCGTCTGACAAAGAGTCGTCGGCTTCCGTCCACGCGACTCATCGCCCATTCAACGCGCATCGACAGCGTCCATCTTTCGGCCCACCGCCCCCACTGGGCACCCCCTCGCGGGAGCCGGTTCTTCCCCGCCGACTATGCCATCAGCGGACATCGACCCTCACGACGAGCAAAACGCCATTATCAGCAGGGGGTAAGAAGGCAAGTACCGGAGAAGGTGGATTCAAATGTTAATGTTTAAGTAATGAATGTTCAACTAGTAAAAGCTTCTATTGAATCATCATTATTACTCTAACGTGCACCTTTCCAGGGACTCAGCTCACCTGAAACGTTGCTATTGATGTGTGATTTGGGATTAGAATGCATGCAATATAAAAGAACGGCATTTGGAATATTTACTATAAGCGATATAACTAGCTTTCGAAACTGATATCAAACATTGTTTTATGTTATTGCATTGCGAAAAACGATGCAATTAATATATAGTTCGTAAAACAGATACCCGATTTCTAGCCAAATACTCCGTTCGCAATTCGATAGATAGTAAGTGAATATAGAACGCAAGGGAACAGCATTTAAACGGGCAGAAATATGGGAGCGGGGAGGATAGAAAAGAAAGGAGCGTGGGCGGCCATGAGGCGGGGCGGATACGTGTGTGGGAACAGTGGAGCTGGAGACTCCAGCGGGAAAAGATGCACCGACAGAAGTACTGGTATTTGCCGGGATTGCAGGCAGCGTCAGACAAGATATTGATTATTTCAGCCGAGATGACTGCTACTGGAACAGCACTTACCAGTAGTATGAAACAGCAAAAATTCTGTTGAACAAGGACTTTCCTGAATTCCTGAGTATGAAACAAGACAACAGGCACCTCGCAGCAACGTACATAGCGGGATGCTGGGTACGTTTCTTTGAATTTTTGTGCGCACTGGAATTTAGTAATATAGTTTACGCCGTCAGAGGCAACGTCGTGTTGTTAGCAATGGGGCGTTTGTGCACGTCAGCGCTCGACTGCAATATCGATTTTCTGCGCATGCGCAGATGCACAAAAGACATGCAAAACGCGAACGGCGCATGCGTAGATGATCGATAGTGCAGTCGATTGCTATAACGTTCGAAGATGCACAAACTCCGTAATGACCGCCACGAGGTGGCATTCGATGCGAATATCGATAATTATTCGCAACAAGCGAGGCGGCTGGGAAGCGAGAAAATCTCTCGACGCCACGCAGCCCCACCGCGTCGCTCATGACGCACAGTGTAACAGAAGGTCACCAAACGCGCGCTTAGCATGCGTTCTAAGTAATTCTAAAGCAACAAAAAGTAATGCAACAATATAAAAGAGAACGAGTAAAAAGATATCGCGAAAAAAATATTTAATTTTAAATAACTTATTCAAATTACAATTCATGGAGGCAGTGATGCTAATAAGAATATTAGTTCCCAGCTTACTTCCATTTTACATAAGCAATTCATCGAATGAAAAATATTAATCATCTTTTCAGTATCCTAGTTTAAAATAAACGATTTTCTCATTTCTTGAATGGAAGAAGGGGTAGGGGGGTAGAAGTAGACCGTAAGATGTGTGAGGGTGGTGTTAGGTTAAGGGGGTGAGTGGTACCGGCCAATATTGCAACGGGGATAGGGTTAGGATGGGAATGGATGGGGTGGGGGAGATGGATGGGGTGAGTTGACGAAGGTGTGGGGGGATGGGGTGGTATGGGGATGGGATGGTGTGGGGAATGAATGGCGGTGGAGATGTATCGGGTGGGGTGAGGGAGATTTATGGGAATGGGATGTGGGGGATAGATGGGGATGGAGTGAGATGGGATGGGGTGGGGTGGGATGAACGGGGTGATATGGGGATCGGATGGGGTGGGGTGGGGATGAATGCGGGTGGTATGGGGATGGTATGAGGGTTGGGACCGGAATCGTGTGTGGGGATCGGGAGTGGTGTTGGGAGTGGCGTCGGGGAGTAGGAAGTCGAGAGCGGGGTCGACGGTTCGGGGTCTCACATCTCGAGGACGCTCCTCCAGAGCACTGTGACGGTGCGGCGAGTTTCCTCATTCTGCGAGCGGAAAAGGACAACGACACGTACGATTCCGAAAAGCCTTCACTACGTTGAAGCTGTGCCAATTTCCTCATCACAGCCACTTTATATACTATCATTCGCATAGAACGTCACATGACGACTGTAGGAAAATGGTATTGTGAGAAAGGCATGCGAACTCTGCATTCTTCGCTGTGTTCGATGAGAAATAAATTAAAAGTCCCAAGGAAATTGACAGAAGCAGGGAGATCCGAAATCAGTATCGGACTGATCTACCAAAGAGAACAAGTCTAGCATGCAGAACACGAGAGTATAAACGAAATGCGAATTATTATAAATTTTATAAATTGTACACATACATCACAAATGCAACCTTTGAACTGTCTTGCAGCAGCGCAATTTTTGATTGGGAAGCGGAGTCACGGACGGTCTTCAATGATTTATACCAGAGCATCACACAATTTTCAAAATGTACACGTTGCGAAACGAACGAAAACGTTTTAGGGGGAAAGGGCCGCCAAACTTGTCCTGCAATCTGCAAGTTTTCTTCTAACAATCTACTACTAGCACCCCCGGTGGTAATACTCAAGAAAAAGAAAAGATAGGAAACAAATTACCTAAAGCCTTGCCATTTAAAATTTGGTGTGAAGTCCGTACGAAACACGAATTAGACAGTATTAGACAGTAATAATTTGTTGTACCAAAAAAAAGAGATTAAAAATAAACATTTCCTTGAAGCATATGCGTAGATAATTCTATAAAAATGGAGTACCTGAAGGTCTCCAAAACAATTCAATTATTAAACAATGCTTATAACAAAATATTTAAGCTTGGATAGAAGTATATTAGCTTAGTTATCGCTTAGGCTATATGGCTTAGTTTATCGCACAGACTACCACCTTCATGAGTCTTTTTGAGAAGACTTAATGTAGAATTAATGGTCACGACGGTGCCGAAATCTTTGAAAGTGTAAATAAATTTTACACATTTTTCACACAGAGTATATCATTGAACGTATTGCAGATACACAATCCTTCGTATAAAACAAAAACCCTTAACAATACCAAAAATAAAGCTAAAGAAAAGGAACAAAATAGGATTCGGCAATCGGATTTACGTTACCTCCCCAACATCGCCACTGCCGAAGCCAATAGAGCCCATGGAACGCGGCAGGCGATGAGCCGGTCGGGTGGTATTGAATGGAGCCGCGTGCGCAGGTGGAGCCCCGTGAGCGGGCGGAGGGCGCGGTCGGTCGCGTGATGCTCACTGCCCTCTCCCTCCCCGTCCCCCTCCACCGCTAGGTGCGCTGACGCAACCCGCCCCCAGCCACCGCGCAACTTCGGAGGCCGGTCGCGAACAAAGGAAAGTCGGCGCGGGCACGGAGATGAACACTGAGCCCCCCACCCCCCGTCGGGGTCGTCACTTAATAAACGAGTTTCGTCTTGACGTCACGACCTACCTGGTTTCACTTTATTATTATGCGTTACACGCCAAGCCATGACTTTTCGTCATAACCCCCCTGCGCTCCATGGAGTGTTGAAATACGGCTAGACAAGGAATAAGGTAGATGAAGCCGTTAGTTGTATACTGCTGCCACCTGGAAAAAGTGCCCAAACATGCACGAGATTTGAACCCGTATTTCTTGGTTCCGTGCAGACGACTATCAGGCTTCGTCAACCCTTCACCTGGGTCGATACAACGGACAAACATTTTTTTTAAACTTAAATACCTCTCCAACCAGAGTTGGCCTCACAAAATAAAAGACTCGAACGCTTGGACCAATACGCAATACAGATGTCGTTTATGATCTGCAAAACTGGCACGACTATATTAAATATGAATTTTGAGTAATGGCAGTATATTATAATTACGATAACATAATTATTATTACTTTATTTTCTTTGTATTATTATTAACACCATCAGAACTCCTGCGAAGCCTGCTTACTTCTTAATCCATCAATAACTAAGAGCTTGCTTCCTGCATTTTACAACTAGCAAAAACTTATCCCAAAACTTCAATTTTTCGAGTAGTAGCAGTTTTGTGTTCTGCATAAACGGTAAGTACTTACAAGTGATGTCTGATTACTTTGATGAGGAAAGTAATCAGACATAACCAAGTAGCTGGTCAAACCGTCGTTCACAATTTTATCAATGTACAATTAATTTGTTCAATCGAACATTACTGTCATTCCATCAGGAACCTCCCCAAACAATCATCAAAGGAAGGGGCAATGCCAGCGATCGTACACGCCGATTAATATCACCCGGGCGAGCGGCGGGCGCCCGGAAGAGCGCGCGGGCGGCGAACAGACGGCGGCGGCTGCAGGTCCCGCAGCGGCGGCGGCGGCGGCTCCACCGGCGGCGACGTGCCGCGCGCAAGGTCGCGCCTCTGGGTCAAGGCGAACGCAGCGCAGCGCGGAGCGGCACGGCGCGGAGCGGCGCGGCGTGGGGCGGCGCCATTACATCACGGGGCGGCGCCGGAGCCCCGACACGCCCCTCCGCTCCGCGCCGCCCAGGGCTTCGGTCGCGCGGGGTCTCTGGGACGCCGCCGCCGCCTCCCCCAGCCCCCGACCCCCGCGCTGCTCCGCTCTTGCCGTGGGCCTCCCTCGCTGCTCGTGGAAACCGAGGCCCCACGAGACGTAGGCCGGGAGCTGCTGTACGAACGGGGCAGCTTCATTATAGACGACACACACCGCTTCCCGAGGAACAATGCGTTTGGTCCTTTTCGCAACTAAATCAGTGCCAAAAGGACCAAAGTTCAAATTTCACGGTGGTAACATCACACATAAAATGTATTTAACATTACACACATTTGTGTGTAATGTTATATATTTACACACACTTTCAGAATGGAACAAGAACAATAAAGTTTTGAAGTTGGCAACTCCAGAAAAATCTAATATTAATACATTAAAACTATTTCCTCCGGATGTCCTATACACTCGCGTACAAAAGTAGTAGGATGCCTGACAATGCTCTGTTCTTATGAACAGAGCGAATCTGAACACCAGGTATCTGAGCATTAGTCGCGTGAAAAGGCACATATCTTAGGGTATGATCAACGTGGAACCGTGTTCCGCCGAAGAGACGTCGAGAACATGAATGGCTCACCGATTCTGACGACGGGTTATTGTCGAACTGAAGTTCACTCGACTGCAACAAACATACGTCTTCACATCACTACATTCAGTCGACATGCATTGAAAGCAAACGGATTAAAACTGAGCTCTGTTGAATACCAGTATAATATGACATAATAGATAAGGTTGTCAATGTTCTCAGGCAAAAATTACGGAGGGAGGCATTCAATAGATAAGGTATAGATTACTTGGGAGCCCACTTCACATTAAAACACCACAAAATAGTGGGGGGAAGGGGGGGGATGCACGCATTCCTCACAGTTATTAAACCACCTAAGTTCCACTTTTGCGGGAAACTCTGACGCATTTTATCAATTTCTTCAGAAATATTCTGCCATATTTTTGAAGAATTGAATAGGAGATCTTCCATACGGCTTCTCGTTTAAAGACTAACAAAAGACGTTTAATTATACCTGAGTTAGATGCCTCAGTTCGAGCACATAATTCAAGTTCATACGATACCGTTACACCGATTCGGAAGTTCCTCCGTGTTCGCCAGAACGCGACGGACGCAGTGTGACTGGGCCTGGGCTGTACTGAAAGTTAATATTTTGACATGGGATTTACTCGGACCGTCCCCTTTAGGCCCCAAACGCCGCTCTATGCGCAACACGATTTCCTAATCCAATCTTCTCCAAGACCTTCGACAATGTTGGACAATGACTACAAAGGAGCTGAAAGGAAAGAACTGAAAAAAAAAATAACCGAAGCCAGAGGACCGAGCGAAAGATAAAGCATTATTTCGCAAACTGTTCACCCCTATGAATCAGACTGATTTACAAAAATAATGTTAATTATAAGCGGGAAAACATGGTAGTTTTTCCATTAACGTACGTAACGTAATAATTAAAGTATTTCGCATGATTTACAGCCAATAATACAGACGGAATTTGCTACGCACTTTTGGAGCCATTTTGGTCCAATAAGCGTGATCTGTTCGGACGAGATTCGAGACGCATACGATGCAGGTAGCCACAGAACGGCTCTGCAGAGTACCTGACAATCTAGCAAGCGGGCAAGG